CCGAAACTAGGACAATCATGAGCAGCGGTCTGACTGAGAAGATCGACTATTCAGTTTAAACTCCTCGTACTGCAGTGGTGTTTGCTGTAGGAATAACAAGAGCCGGTTATGGAGTCTTTTGGGCTCATCAACCAGGTTCATAGAATTCCGATCGCTGAGCTTTATGTTTGGATCGCGTACGTTTCACCACTATCGACTGAACTAAGAACAACAGTGTTATTCAGAACCATTGGGAATAGAATAGAAATCAGTCCACAGCAAACAAAACAGATTCTAGGGACGAACAAGCTGATCTCAACACAAACACAGACAAGCAGAAATTTCACCCCACTGAAAAGCTTCAGACCAATCAAATGAATTCAGAAGACCAAGCTCACCGGTAAGGAGCACTGACTGAAACAGAATCGAAATACGCAAATGGCTGGAGGTTGCATGTTACTGAAGTCCGGTCGCGAAAACACTTGCCTTTTAAAACTGTCCAACTCAGTCCTTTCAGCTGCGGGTTTCCACCTTTGTATTATCACTACTGTACTAAAGCAAGAACAGTTAAAGTCAAAAAGGATGTTGGATACGGTTACGGCATGAATACGCTGATGACTTGACCTCAGTTGGAGATCTGATGTCTTCGATCCAATGGGCCCGTTTGGTGAGCAAATCAGCAACAAATTGGAAAACGTATAAGACCAACAAACAAATAATCAGCGTTAAACCAGTTGTCCATTGAACATGAAGTGGACTTATGGCAAGCATCTTCATAAAATTGCAGAACTCACTCGAAGTTCTATAATTGTGCACTAATATTCAAGCGGGTTCGGGGTCAAAGATATGTTGTTACTGAGACCGGTGGAACGATCCTTCGTACAGATAATTACTAAAATTTGATAAGGCAGCGGTATTATCGTTCCCTTCGATCACAACCCGTCAGTCGGTTCTACACAAAGCACTTACCAAATCAATTTTCTGTAGCATGTCACGGAATGTAATCCATTCAAGGAGTAGACACTTTCTATCGTGAACCATAGCGCAAAGATTGGCATATCTGATTTTCCCCGACGTTGAATCGTGTGTGACAAGGCGATAAGAGCAGAACAGGGATATTAAATAAAAAAGTAGAAGGGGGAACACTGAATACAAGGAGTCTATCATTGTGGAACGGCAAGTCTTTGTACGCAAGATTCTAACCTAATCGAACACCCAACCACCATCAATAATATGTGAATCAGCTACCTTTCATGAATGACTTTTCAAGGGTAACAACCCGTTGACCACGTAGTGATTGACTACTACAATGAACAACTTCTCTTTTTATCATATTGGTTAAAACAGGCTCTCGACTGGCTTCCCGAATTGGTTTGTCTCAATAACTGATCCACTGCTGACCTAAGCATCGATGAACCGCATGCGCATTTTATTCAATAAACTCTAGTAATATACATTCGTTAGTGCATATCTTCTGACAATAATTGATCATATTTGAAAATGACGATGATCCTAACAAAAACCAAAAATTTCGGTTGAATCAAGCTACTAACAATCGGACTTGAATTGATTTTTCATTCGGCAGAAGAAGTGGATGGTACTAGACCAGTGAACCACAAATAAACGAAAACCTCAGGTTCACCGATAAATGACTTAATGCTGTATTAAAACCCGTGTTCAATTACGAGTTTATCTATGTGAGACAGAAAAGAAAAAAATCACTTATTACAACATTGAACAGGCTATCAAGGGTAAAAAATAAAACAGTTTGAAGACGGACCCTGATAAGTGACAGTTTCTGGAGTTATTTACTGTACGATTACAGCAATTCGGAAGATATGAAGCGAATGTATTGTAATATGAGGCAAAATAAGATTATCATTATGATTCATTTATATATCAGACACTACATGGAAGCACGTGAAAAAGAGAAATGAGAAGAACTTGTCAATCCTTCTTTTCTGAGAGACTACATTTCTCATCGAAGGATTTGCTGTTACTACTGAACTACTTAGTATGCGTGAGTTGTACCTACCTTGAGCTACCCATCGGCCAACCAACACACGTACACTAAAATGTGCATCTACGCTGATTCAGTTCACGTCGTGAAACTAGCATCTGATCGGGGTAAATTTGTCATTCGAAATGAGCAAAATACACCTTCATTTCTAACGGAACAACATTTTGGAGCAGGCTGATTGGACTAATTAGTCTGCATATTTTGTCTTTCAACACTCCTCCCATCTGGAAACGAAAACGTATAAGCTTTCGTTTCTAGATTCGTAATTAATTAAATCCTGAGTGTATTTACCTAGTGGGTTCGGAGACCACGTGCTGGATTGGATCAATTCAAATGTGCGTCAATAAGTGTGTAATTACAATCAGATGTTTCCCCCTGGGGATGTATACAACTTATAGATTTCTGATCAAGGTCAGAACCGCAGCCCTCAAAAACAATGTATAAACCAATTTTTTGTAAGGTTTCATCCATAAAAGTCTTTAATGAAGCTCGTGAAACTGTGTTCGTTCAGAGCACATTTAGGCAGACTTTAGAAACCTTTAAGGAATAGAAGGGTGTCATGGATGATAGGGGTACACGTGAGAAACAAACGTTCGCAAATCAAAATTATTTTTTTGGGAGATATTTCTGGAATGATGCATCGTGTAACAACAATGTTCAACTCAACATCGGGCTAGTTGGGAATCTCTTTCATATGCTTGGCATATGCAGAGTGTCCTATCTGTGCCATCATACTGAGACATATCACTTTGTTCTGTGAGTTAGCACTAGGCTATCCGGGCCGGTTCTTAAGAAGCCAAGTTGTGCGGCTTCTTTGGAAATCCTTTCAACTCACTTAAACCCTTGTTGAAAAACGCATCCATCCAATCAGCCGGTCAGCATGTAGGCGAAGAGTTATTCACGTTTAAAGCCAGTAACGGAGCGGTATTAGGTTGCGCAGTATTTGAGTGCAGATAATCACTGACGGCCAGCCCGGACAGCCTAATGGTAATTTGTGGTACTGACAACTCCGGTTCAAATCCTACTGGGAACTCGTTGGGTATGTGCTACTGATGATTAAGACTGAGAGAAGTATAAAAATGCTATTTGGTCAAGTTAGGCCGAGTATTTGCTTTGTGCACCCCAATGGGCGATGAATATCCAGCAGTACATAGCTGTACTCACAGCTTATCTCACGAAAAGGCAGCATCTGTAATAAAAGCACAATTCAAAGGGGTGATTTAGGAAGAAAAATAGGAACTAAGACACTGAGGGTAGTTTGAGTTCAGCTTCAATCTTTGCAGAGTACCGTGAGAAGCGAGATATGTCAGGGACAAAAAGAGGACAGGTAGGCAGTAGTATGAAAATGAATCATTCCATTTTTGGTACAGGTGAAAGAAGAGGAATCACACATGCTGAGGTCCCTGTGAAGCGTATGATATAAGTCATTCACAATTCTCTCGGAGAATCTAACGAACATTTTTTGGTGATGAAATGTGACAAAGTATGTTTGATTCCTATAATGTATCCACCTTACATATGATAAGTGCTTGAAATAACTATCAAGTGGAGTGCAGTCTTTGACTTGTATTCCAGAGAAGAAGGTGAAAGAGGATTACAACGAGGGAGATCATATGCAGGCAAGGACAACACGTTGGATGAGGTAAAGAGACACAGACACTGCTTTCACACGAATAACGTCTCCTTGATGAAAATAGGCAGAATGTTCGGAATCACAAAGATTGTAGGTGATCGTAACCCAAAGTAGTTGACAAACGCTTGAAAACCGGTGGGTATGTTTCTCAGGTGAATACCTAGACGAAATTCGAAGAAGGTCCCATACTTAGAGCACTCGAGAAAAAGATGAATCAACCTATAAGCATTTATGGGGATCTGAATTAGGGCCATGAAGTTTGCACAAGTGGTCAAGATCCAAGACAACAGACTGGAGTTTTTGTGCATCAGTATCGGTTGACCCAACCGCAACATCATCTACATACTATATAATAAAAGGATAGTCACTGACAGGTATTGGGGATGTGTGGGCCGAAAAAAGAATAGGCGCCCTGTAGGACGCCTTTGCTTGAGATGGAACAAGTTCTGCCTCCACAGAGTGTAAACGGTTGCCAGTTAGGAAGGTAATCAGATAATAGTCTAATAAATAGGGGTTGAATTCTGTTATTTGAGGGGATGTCGAGACATTTTCGTCTATCTAAGCTGTTAAGTGCGTCAATATAATCTGGAAATCAAGTGCGTACAGCTTTTGATTTCTTGTCCAGTGAACATAGGACTGTATGAATCAAAGAAACAATAGCACCCAAGGTAGAACAGGAGAGACATTGGGCGAACTTGTTTGAGTCTCTTGTTATCAAAACCACATAGTAGCGTGATCCGACCTGATCTCGTGGTTTTCAGTGGGGAGGTGAGCGTTGACCTTTTGTGATAAATTAACCCAAACCGTAGATCTATGAAAAAGTGCTTTCAATCTATCGACTATTTGTTATTGCAAGCTGAGTTTATAATCGTGGTAAAATAACTCGAAGTTATCCCGTGATGGTTGTGACAAAAGTGTTTAGGCCTCGTCAGAGACATTACTAAATTACAAATCGCAAATCAAAGAGGCTGAACACCTTGGATATCCTCAGGCCGGCGGTGGTCAAACGGTCATCACAGTGGGCATCGAACCCTTCGATCCTGGGGTTTGGATCATCACCCCTCTGCCGGTCAGTCTCCAATTGGCAGCCTCAAATTGGCCGCAACCTCCCTCCTGAAATGTTCTACCATTATCATACAGTGAAAAGGAAAGCAAATGAAAGAAGAAAGGAAGGGAAAATGCCCCTATGGAGAACTACCAGAGACGTACCGATGTTTCAGACTGAACACTTTCTGTTCGATCCTAACCATGCCTGCAACTTGCCCACGAATCAGTTGCCGGCCCAGTTCACAGACTGATTCTACAGATCCTCGATATGATTCGACAGCCTCGATCATTTGAGTCTGTTGATCCAAAAAGGTTTGCAACTGCCCAGTGGATGCATGTTTCTGAGTCATTTCAGTTGGGGAAAGGGTAGAATGCATGATTAAATTTAGGGGAATTTGAATGAGAAACATGCAAGTGTTACACACCTGTATAAGGTTTGTCTGTACTTCTTATAGAGTAAATAAGATCGTTTCATGGCCATCACTTTCACTGATATGAGAAGTACCAGAGCAAATTGACACATTCCTGTCGATCGTGTAAATTTTCAAACAGATTAGCGTTACAAAAATTAAAGGTAATCCCCACGAAGTTGCTACAAAATCTTATCACACTGCTTTAGTCCTATGGATTCAAAGTCATTTATGCCTAGACCTATGACCCTATTCTGCCCTCTGTCAATTCGCCTCTACTATTGTTATTCCTTTCAAATCATCAGCAAGCTTGAGGGCCTAACAGATGTACTATTTCTCAGTCCCTGATCCCATTGCGTAAGCATCTCTTCTTCATATGTTTCAAACAGTTGTCTCCCCGTCTCAGTTACTAGCAAGAGTCATCCATCATTTTTCTTGGAATGAACTCAGCGTACTCAATGATTAGATCCCTCGATAAATCCGCGAATCCGGCACTCGCCGTGGTACTGTTCTCGTGTTTCACACTGCCTTATACTAATTTTCTAATCAGGTCAATAACTTACCTGATACCATTTCAAATAATCTGCATTCATCTCTAACTTTCCTGGTAAAACCCACAGGCCGAACAAAGTTTGGTTCCGTAGCCTCTGCCCGTCCCTGAAAAATCTTTACTAACTACCCAGAAGATCGCATTCTACTTTTTATCAAATGTGATGTAATCCTTGCCTTTGACTTGGTTGTCCGAATTAAGTGGAACTACGCCAGTATCCACCCTACTTCCAAGTCTGTGTTTATGCTCTAACCCCGTCACCTTACTCTCACTGCGTTTTCCACTTACTGAACACTCAGCTTCCACATAAACTCAGGTAACGTGGTTATTTACACACTTATATCCAAAAACGTTTACTGATTAAGAATTAGAAATAAGCGTCTTCATAAGAGATGATATCAAAAATATGAGTTTTCATAAGTTACGCTAAGCTGGATACGTTATTTCTTGCTGATTCCCGGGACACATGTATATGAGACGCGTAGACTCTGACTTGATGACTGAATAAGTGCCTTCCAGATATACTGGCTTGGGAATTTAAAAGTGTACCGCAACATACTAACCACTATCCAACAAGCCAAATGCAAAATATTCAAAAACTACCGTAAAATTCAACACTCCCTAAATTGAAGTAATTTATCGATTTCCTCGTATGTATCATGTTTGTGAACCGAATGCTGATGATATTCAGAGACCAATACCACGAACCCGCTAATCGGGTAATTGAAATGTATTTGCTAGCCTTAGGCATCCAACATAAGGCGCCGTCACTTGCATTGGTCGGACGGGACATCCTGGTCTTCTAGCCCAAGTTATAGTTCCACCGATCCACCAGATCGACCTCAATCCAGGAGCGCGACATAAAGCACGACTTAGGTATGCGTCTTTTTCGACCAGAAAGGGTATGGGCAGATAGGTGGTAACTATCGGCCAGCCATCGACTAGGGAGACCTAAGGCGAGCTGATCAATGGAATGCCCCTTACGAATGTGACAACCAACCACTGCGTTCGGTTATCAAATTAAAATGACAGTCCTCCAATTTCATGTCATAATTTCTCAGATCAGTAGGATACTTTATCAATTCAATCTTAAAAAGGTGTAGGCACCAAGATCTGCCTGATCGCATCAATCCGTTTGCAGTTTCCCAACCCTCAGTGAAGCAGTCTCATCAAATGGGATTGTTTGTTTAGTAAAAAAGAACTACTAGTTCATCGGTCGTACTTTTCCCAAGCGTCACAGCCAAAACTCTTTCCATATTCCACACATGCACTCTCATTGACATCTGCATTTATCACCCGAGAATTCAGTTTATCCGTAATGGGTTGTGACGAGACAGAGAGATTTCGTGGGCAGGTGACGAGTTTCAGCTGCCAAGTCAATCACGTGTCTGTGTTTGGAGAGCAGTGGGATTGGTGACTACACACTTTAGCTGACGTAGAATTCACTTGATGTTAAAATGTCACTGTCTGAACCCCACACTATAATTACGTTATCATGTTTCATAACTACTATTCAGACCCGGTTAATTCACCTGATCCCTGCCAAATTCTCAAAAACTGGTGTACATGTTTATTCATTACGATGAATCACATGAGAAACCAGGACAGTTTTCTGCCAGTTCCGTATACACACAAACCTATCTTCAAAGAACATTGTCATCCCGTCTAATCACTGTGTTGGTGGGCTAATCAAAGTACCTTAACCACTTGCACGTGACTCATTCCTTTCCCGTTTGCAATACACTTGCATATTCGATAACTGTTCATACCATACTCCGCACTGCCATGCTCCACTAATCATATGCGGCCCACCGCGTGTGAGACTGATGTTAATTTACCGCCTGTGTTTGAGTATACCGTACGCTTATCGTAAGTGCACTTTCATACGCACTCACGTGCTTTCGTTCTGCTTACCGGCTTCCGGAAACAACAAAGTGGTTCACTCTTCTACGGACCATTGATTACCTTCTAGTTTAACCAATGTCATCATCCATGTGTTTTGCACCTTCACTTCTGATTGTCTCAGTCTCCATCAGGATTCCTGTTCGCCGACTCTCTGTGTTATTCGCTTGTCTGTGATACCACTGGCCTGATTCCATCCACATAAATTTATCCGCATGTTTTACTCTGTTGTTCTGCTCGATGTCAAACGTTAACTGTAACTGATCCCCATTTTCCTTGCGTCATCAACCCCTCCGTTTACCCCGGGGAATTTACTGTTGACCAGCTATCGTGTGTTTGTCATCCCTGTCGAACGAGCGTTGAAAACTCTCTTCCTTGTCTTTACACTATGTCTGATTGGCCTACATTTTGAGTTACATTGTGCTGGTAGTTGAGTGAACTTGTTTTCTCTGATCTACGATTTGAGATTCGTTACTCCGCTGGACAACAACGGGGTTGCTATTAGCTACATATAAATAACTCCACCAGTTACATTATTGTCATCATCGTTACCAGATTTCAGTGGTCTTCCCGTGTTCGGTAGTCAACAACCTTTAACTGCCATTTAAATTTGTTTTCTCATCTCACTCTGCTGCTTCCCTGTAAATCTTTATGATCCTCTGGATACATATTATAATAAAACTGACTTTGAATTTTATTTCTCACAATTTAGCTTCTTGACTTCACGAACTCGTGAACTTCACAGTATAGCCATAATTTTAACGGACCTCGGGAGTTTCCGCAGAAGATTCTCGTAAACCCCCCTCATTCTACCTTCGTCGGTTTCTTCTCCCATCGTTTTCTCTATTTTGAAGGATTAAATTGGAACTCATCCTTTCCTAGAGAGCAAACTGACCCTGAAATTCTCTCTTCCCTTACTTCTTTCGTTTGCACATATTAAATGAAACAAAACCACATTCCGTGTGACCGATATTAATCATGACCGAAATGTACATTCCTGTATAAAGAGGAAATTACGATAAGATACAGTACAATGCAGAACAAATATAATACAAGGAAGATACAGTTGAAACCCTATCGGGCTAGTGCTAATTCGCGGACAAGTTAGGCCAAAAAGCACACAGTTAGGCGAAGACTTACGAGCAGGTCTTTGTCGATCAAACGTCCTTCTTGTCGGCCCATCATAGCATCGAGTTGTTTGGCCTCATGAAACAATTTCTACCATCGGGAAAATAACATAGCTTTTGATGAAGAGGCAGCATTCTGTCTCACCAAGGTATACAAATAACTAGCATATTACTACTAATAATAACACTGACCCCCTAAATTCTGTGATCTATAATACAACGATGGTATAATGTTAATGAAGTGACTCATCAGGCTGTGTTGCCGCTCTTCTCATCAGTTAATATCGTGGAAGCCCTGAACCTGGTAGCTCGTCTGTCATGTTAGGAACTTCTAATAGCTGAAATGCACGTCCACGAAATCCCACATGGAAATCTAACCACAAGTACATCATTCGTAGTCACAAAGACGTTACACGTCAGACTATCAGGAGGGACCTTGATGAACTAGAGGTTTTACAAAACTACTTGTGGGAATTCAATAGTGGATCAATTTCAGTAGTATGAGATTCAACTGTTTACGAGGTTATTCGTCATGCAGTATCAACACAACCATTCTGGATTGTACGTTGGTAGTGTTCGTGATTCACAACCGTTAACTCTACGGTTGAGTTCTAGGGGGATCTCTGTGGATGTGCACTGTTTATAATTCCTAACAATAATGGGACAGTCCTGGAATGGTTGCATAGTCTTTGAAGGGCGAGTTTAGCGTTGGTAACTTAAGGTTAACTCATTAGCAGAAGAAATTTCTGGAAGAATTGCACTTACAGATCACTTCATTCATAGCCCGTCACGTGCCCAGAAGTCGCTGTCAAATCCAATAACATTGTATCATTTTGTTTACATTCTTTTGTTAGGCAATATTGGTGCAACATTTTAGGAAGGGGAGGGGTCGCGGCCAATTAGAGGCTGCCACCTGGATAGTGACCGACGACAGAAGCAAGACTCGAACCTGCCATCGAAGGACTGAATGCCCATTATGATGACCACCTGACCACGGCCGGTCATCACACCAAAAACAACCCAAATTCAATCCACTGTTAGAATCCGTAGGCCATCTAATGTTTTGATCATTTAATACCTATTGCATTTCATTTGAATACTTGTACTGCTAACTTGCCGTCTCACATCGATTCCTAAAGAAATTCAAGATTTATTTCTTATTATTATCCTCTGGGGCACAGATAAGTTATATCGTTCTCTATTGTTAGCCTAAGTCTACTTTTATAAAAAATAGTGTACACATCTTAGGACGAACTTTTGCAAAGTTTCTTGGGTATTTAATGCCTGCCTCGATGCAAAAACTCTGTGTGGTGATTGTAACCGTAAACGAACCGAGAGATCAAAAGTTTTCACAGTCGCAGATTTTAATATTCGGATAATTACACCTTAAAAAGGCGGGTGGACTAGTTCAATGGGGCATATACCGGAATAAAGTCATCGTATTTGGTGCAACGCAATGATAGACTTCAAGAGGAAATTTGCTAATTGGGGCAAACTTTACTTTGTAGACCGTTTGATAACTAATATATTTATGACAACTTAACTCATATGGAAATTTTTCAAGGGTTAATTAGGATATAAGTTTACTGTGGATGGTTACCGTGGATTAGATGCGTAAACAGTGTGATATTTTATCAATGCAACCTGGTAGCACATCCGGTAGAGCACAGGCCGTATTAGGACGTGATTAACTTGACTGTCTGGATTCGACTCCCAACGCGGAGGGACGATTAGCATCATGCCGTAATTCAGGATCATACTTCACGGTTACTTTCTGACACAACAAATTCGCGGTAGTTAAGTACTCGTTGTAAACCCGGAACCAGTTAGGGATATTTACTGGCAATAAGGTGCGAATACATTACGGTTACAAGGTTGTCATCTGCTAAGTATTTGGGAGATGAAACAAATCGTGTTATGGTTTTGAAAGTTCAACACACGGTAGAGGATGAATGTGGTGTGGGTTAGACTACTTATGCCTGAGTTCGACCATTTGGGATTACGTCACTGACTCGCGTGATGGGCCATAGCCCGTTTGTGGAAGCACATCATGAACAACTTTCAGGTACTTATTTGTGTAAATGGATAAACTAGGAGCAATTACTGAAAACAGGTTTTTTCACCGCTTCTTGTACCCTGTATGGCAGTAGATATGTGCAGGGAAATTACCCACACATTTGTGCTATCCACGAACTTCATTTTGAGTGTTTTATTCTGTACGGTTCTAAAATAGAGATGCCGTTGAAATGCGTTCGTTCACTTCTAATGCGGCAAATTTGCACACGCAGAAATTAACAATGAGATTCGGCCAACAGAAACGGAGAGTTGTGCAACAATCATCGGATTAGAAATACTAACCACTTTGATGATTACAACTTCCTCTTTATCTTCTAATCCACAGGAAATTAAATGATATTTTCCCTCTATTTTCGATCTTTCTTTCTCCCTCTTTCTAACGCACGGCTGAAGTCATAGTCGAACAACTAGTTCACAGTCGGGATCATGGTGCAATTGTATGATAGAGACTAACAAAGAGCAAAACAAAACGGGGATTAGGTTATCATCAACGGACCTGTTCATCCTCGTCTTCTTCTTATCTGACTGAATCAGATGATGAAGGAAAATGACGGCCTACGAACAAATTGCCACTATCTCCACTATTCTGTCCAATCGTTCTCACCCTATTTTCTTGATGAATGGAGATTTGATACACTATTTTCCCCTCATCTCTGCGGACCAAAAGTAGGCTATGCGCAGTGCAGGGAGTGTCCGTAAACGCACTGACACATTCTTATGTCCGAGGGATCATGTCACGATTGACGGTTTTGACTTTCTCTCCTACCCCCCCTCCTCACTTTGTTGCTGTTGTTGTCGTTGTCGTCGCCGTCCCTCGGATTACTGGAACAATCAAGAGGACAATGAAGCAGCAGAAATAACAACAATAACAAAACAAAACAAAGCTAACTGATGCAGCCAAACGTCGTTAGATCAAAAACGACCGGAACGTAATCCTATCTCAAGTGAACTGCCGCCAAAGCTGACTATCGTTAGGGAATAATTGATCTATTTTGTCCTTCATTCCAGAGGACTTTCTGGATTGGACCAAACACGCGGAGTCATACAACAGCCTAAGTATGTAGGAAAAAGGAGATGGACAAAGAGTGGGTGGACCCACTCAGAACACATATTAAAGCTCCATATGAAACATGTTATTGAAAAACAGGCTGGACAGGCCAATGGATAATGTTGCACGGCCGATGAATCTGCATCTCGGTTGACGATCCCTGTTGAGATTTAGTGTATTTTCACGACACTTTATAAATAAAATAGCTGTATTGCTTTCATGGTTTTTACAGATGAATTTTATTCGTCAACCTCACATGATGCATCTTCCTATTGCAATTTACAGTTCCGAGCTATAATATCGTTCCCCTGGTATTTCTGATCCGAAGGTCTCTGCTTTGCACTCAGATCATTCCATCGGAATATTTCATTGTTACCTCCAACTCAGTAACCTCTGTAGTTGTTGTATCATTGCCGTTCAAACATAGCACTGAGTCGTCCCCCAAGGACTTTAATCGGCCGATTTCATACCCGAGACTGCATAAATTCCAACAAGAAATATCTACAGGCGTTCGAATTTTACAGTGCCTGTCGGTCGGAAGTCGGTTACGGAAATAGACTTAAGAATATAAAACAACCACGGTGGATATCCCAGCCGGAGCGTCAGTGACAGGAATGCACATCCGAATTGCCTACCTGAATTGACAGACTGTCCTCGAGCAACTTTTGTCGATGGATCCACATACAAACCAGTTCATTCCAACCGGATTCCAGCGAGTCCAAGCGTTTGTCCAGTTCTACATAATGCTCGTCCGTTTCCCCTTCAGTGATACACCGACCGTAGGTGATCAGCTGAGCAAATGGTTCCCGTCTAGATTCTAGCTCTATTTTGAGATTTGCATGGTCGTCTAGATGTTGTGTTGCATCTTCTACAGATTCAGCTTCATTATGAGTAGCAACTGCGCTCTGTATCTTCCGAAGCCATAGTTGATTCTCGTCTAAATCCTATAGGATAAAACGAACGAGTACGAGTTATGAGATTACTGGGCATTATTGATTGCACATATGAACCATACACATGTAGCGGGTGAAAGAGTGAATCAGTGTATGGATCAACCAATAAAATAATAGATCAGTCAGTCAGTAAGTCAATCGATAAGCTGTTCATCGACCAATGTGCCATGCGAAACCACGCAACGCGTGGACTGTTCAGTTTTGACGACAAAATTGCGACGAAGAAATTTTGCTGAAACATTGCCCAGAGTTTACATGTGAGCAACATAGTAGAACTAGTTTCATCCCTAAACCAGAAAAATTCATTAACGGAGGCATTGAAGCTGACGCTCCGCTTCCTTTATCTGTTCACACGGACCAGCGGTTTTTCGGTTATCTCATTCTCTCTCTATCGGTTGAAACACTGCCCACATGCATGGACCAGCTAGAAAACCAAAGCAATCACAATGATTTCCCCTTGCCCAGATTTGATCACTTTTAATGCCATCTTTACCACGAGAAATGGACAACCAGAAAATAGAGGCCAGTTAAATGAAACTTGAACAGGTGCAACACAGCTGAGCAGTGTTCGGTTAATTCTCCCTTTACTCATTTTGAGAATTCGTAATGTGTCGAAATCACCAAATGGAAATACATCTATAACAATCTGCGTCACAAGACGGAATCGAATGGATGACCGATCAGTTGTGTTGTAGATGCCTTTCCATTTGAAACGCCGTGGTCGAAACCACGAGAGAAAAATGTCAGAAAACTGGATTTTTCACAAATTGTAACAATGAAATAAATTCACTGCACTTCTTCTTGCTCATCGGCCTGACTGGGACAGTTGCTTCAGGACTAGATATCCACTAAGGCTTAGTGAGTTCCAACGATCAAGTCAAATAAACCTGGAGAATGGAATTGTATGGTCAATCAAAGTCTGATGATTGGTAGCCGATAGTTTCGATTTTGACTCTCTGAATTTCATTCCAGGGGATAGTTTATTAGCTATTTGGAATCTAGTTATTTGTAACCTTCCAAGGGCTCACAGATGTATCATGTTCTTTCGATGTTGTCATGGCCACAGAAGATGGTGTGCACCCACGGGTGGATAGTAAAAGTGTCTTGATGCGCATTTGATGAGGCGAAGACGCAGAAGCTGACTGAAGAAACGAACACACAAAAGGTCTTTCAGTTGAATTATGTAATTCTGTCAATGTATTTGCGTTTCCGCTAGCTGAATTCTCGTAAGAACCAGATTCGTAAAACTGCTCGTTTTTCTAGATACCAAATTAAAATAACAGCTATTCTTATTGGTAACATTATTACTATCAACACTATTGTTGCTACTACTATTACTACTACTGCTAAAGTCACCACTACCAATGGCACTAACATTATTATTGCTGAAGATCACGTTTGATTAGGTGAGAAAGTATTGTTACCTACTTTATTTATCAAACTGCCAATTTTTCAGTTCGCGTTACTTTCTGAAGAAACCACTTGGCTTTTGTTTTACGTACACTGGCGTTAAAGAACTATTTGCCGCTAAGATAATGTACGGATTATTCGTGAATGCCATGAATGAAATGGAAACAGTTCCTCTTTGTTCGAATCATTCTTATAAATCTGATGACCTTTTTGATTACAACTCCGTTCTAGTTTACTCGAACGTTTGATTGGTTAAACACAAACGTAACTATGTATCTCTGTCAATTTCACCGTTAGCAATCAATTCCTTACAGTCACGGACGACTTATTTCATAATCAACTCAACTTTTCACTGTTTTACTTCGATAGCTACTGAAATCACCCATCCAGAAAGAGAAAAACTGTAAATGACTACACGTCACCGAAACATATATTATCGACAATCAGAAACCGTCACACTAAAGTCGAAGCAATCCCACCACCCGTGCACTGCCCTCCACTCTCCCGCATTCCACGCGGTGCCCTCGCACGCATCAATCATGCAGATTGGTGTATAGAACAAAAGAAACACCAAAGAATGGCCACGACACTTCATCGACCGTCCACCTATAATAAGTGTCTTATCTCGAATGTACGACCCATCACATTGGACATTATCATGCAGTGCAGGATGAAAGAAATAGCCATAATTTTCAGCCAAATCACGGGATAATGCTTGTCACAGAAACGGCAACCCCTGGCATGACAGATGAACGTATTTCAAATGTGCTCGTCTGCAGGCACTGCGTCTCAGTAATTTCTCCCTATATCGTTTCTACTTCTTTTCTACATAACTGTTGACACTTAGATCGCACAATATCATCTACCAAGGGATCGATTCCAACCATCATTCACGACCAACAATGATTCAAAATCATTAAAATTTGTCGATGGCGCAAACAGCTGGGATGATGTAAAAAGCGGAGAATGCATTTGAATTATTTGCATTCGAATGTTCGCATCGTGGATCGGAATTAGATCTACGACTTTCCGCAACCGCGCTGTTGCTTTACCAGCTGTGATTTCACACTACGGTCAATGGATGCGAATAATGCGAACGATTATCCGATGATATGAAAACAATTTTACAACGATATACAACAAATGTTCTGGTTCTAATAAATGGACTAGCTTTGTCCGTCATAGTGTTTGTGCATTATTGAATATCTACTTGAATTATTCGCGTTCGATAACTTTGGTCCGAAGAATAAACTAGTAAAGCAAATGCTCGTTAGACGAAAGATTGCTGCCAGATTTCACAATCTGAAATATGATGGATACTAAAAGTATAGGTATTCCGATTCCATGCTCAATTCAACAAATCAAAAATCATAAATGAATTCAACAATCACGTGAAACCACTGGGGGTACATACACCGTGGCACAGGTGTGCTCATCAAAGAGCACACCTAAAACAAGCCCTTGAAAATGATGTCTGAAAAGGCTAATCGCTTGCACGTATCAATTTGCCGCGTTGTGGGTTCGCCGCTTAAAACGATCAACAATTCTGAAAGATATCGAAGATAGATTGTCTGTTCTCCGTTCCAATCTTTTAACGTATTCGCTCGTTTGACCACTTTCAGAAAGCCAAGTGGGTAAAGCAATGCAAGTAACAGGGAATGGGACTGCCGTGTACTAACCGATCTAGACTGGGGCGTGAATTCAAGGGGAAGAATCCGTCACGAAATCGAGAACTGTATTGTGAAAGATGAAATCTAATTGATGTAGAAATGGTTTATGAATGCATAATTCCTTAAACTCCATAGTTTTGCACGGGAACAGGGGAAAGGACATCCACATTAGCCTAAAAGGTTCACTAAGCTATCAAGGGCTACCGGCAAACGTGATCCTGGGACTAGGGTGATGAACCATTCGGGTGATGGTCAACAAAGTGGGCTGATGAGGTTCAAACTTGGAGCCGCCGAATTTATAGAAGCCTAAGCCACTGAAGCCCAACCCGTTGGTGGACCGGTTCCTCATTATAGTTGCCAACAGCGAAGGTGGTATCGACGATACTGTTACACCTGTTTTGAATCTCAAGACGTGCTTGGTAGCTGGCATGTTTACTGGACAGTACTCATTCAAGGGTCACGAAAATTAATCAAATGTAACAACCATGCTTACATTTATACTGAATGCCAGTTCACTTGAAAACAGCGAATATTCAGATGGAAGAAAAATCTTATGGTTTTGCATGCCCTAGTTTACTTTATTGCGCCTGTTCCCTTTGACACAGTGGCTTTCGTTATTAATTCCAAGCTGTCCATATTTGCGTTTTGAGCAATCAACTACTGCTTATTCAGTAAATAGTATGCGCATCCCACCACACACTTGTTGCTTTGGTCACAAAAGCGATCTCTTAGCCCACTTCGGTTATTTTGGCTTCAATCCGGAACTGGCTTTTGGAGTCCGTGTGACTCTGGCAACGAAGCATCAGTCGAAACCTGGTGTGAATTATACTGGCCTACTTCGATTATATGCTTGTCATTTATTCCTTCACGAATAAATACGACGCTCCTTGTTTCTTAGCTGCATAATACGCACAGTTGTGATTGGATAGTACATTCAATGTGGCCGGATCTGTGCAAATAGTCTGCTCTCTTGATTTCTATTCTATGATCGTCTCTCAGACAATGCTTACTTAAGCTGTTCATTCCAATCCCAGAGTTCGACGAATTTTCAAGTTGAACTAATATGCTACGGTGGTCCTTTAAAAAAAACCTTGCTCTTGTCCCTACATTGTGAAAATCTTCTAACTTTTCTCCTTCAAAAAAACAGTCACATAAAACATGGAGTTTGGGTAGTTGCTTCATCCACCAAAAATGAAGCATATCTTAACACCAACTAGTCAGTTAGAAACTCGGAAAATTTTCTGTGTTGCCAGCGCTCATTAGCTATCTTTCCTCAGAATCTCTCGAATTATTATTCTTATCCGTGCTGATTTTGAACTTATGCTAATATTCGGATAATACTTTTTTGGTCTGATCTTTATCAATAGTTTAAATGTATTGCATTATACGTAGGACTTATTCCCATTGTATATCATCGGTTATCTAAATAGCATGCATCCCCCTACATGCACTATCCTCCACTCGACTCAATACCACTGTGCACTATTTGGAATACTTTAACTACAAGGACATATCAAAATCACCTCAACCTAGAACAAAGTACACCGAAATAACATGAAATTCTTCGTTGCGGAACTCAGTTGCGAAAATACACAACATCAGATGTAATAAATGGCAGATTACCAGTTGACCAATCAGTGTCAGCTACTG